GTATTTAGTTTCTAAGGGTAATAATGCGTGCAATGATAATAATACATGCGACATAAGCATAGGGAGGAATTCAATTTTTAATTAAGTAGACCTGTTCTCGTAATATATGTCTTTACCCAATAAAGTGTCAACTTTGAGGTGTAATGATTCTGGCTCACCTGAAAGTCTTTGTACTGTGTTGGTTAAATTGCATCTTTGTTATTCAACTCAGAGGGGTCACTTTTATTAATATCCTTGGATTCGGGTTCTTTGTTTCCAAGTTGAAGTAAATTATCTTCTAAAAAAAAAGTAAATTGGAAATTATTATTGATATCTGATTGCCCTTACTCTGCTTGTTATACAACTTCCTTTTTGTTGTTCTTCATATGATGGAGCTCATATTAGGATCCTCGAAAGCTTGAATTTAGGGCAAATGAATTATTCTTGTTTGTGCGTAAGCTCTTATTAAGAGGTTGAAGTCTTAAAAGTTCTGTAATCTTTCTTGTGCCTGTTCAACTGTTCCATGCTCCAAAATCTTCTATTTGATTTCTGTATTCAGACAACGGATCTGCATCTCCTACTAATTTTCTCAACTATTGCCATGATTTTTATGATAGCATCTCTTTTACTCCTCGAATTGCCCTCTGTTGTCATTTCAGGAAGCCTTGCTCAGGGTATAAACTAAAAGAGATGACAGGTAGTGGCATATTTTCCGATGGTAATAATGCATCTGAATCTGATGCTACCAATAGGACAGGTCTGCGCATTTATCAGGTACATGATTGATCTTGACATTCAGGCTGTTATTTTGCATACATGCTTAGGCGGTACCATTTCACTATCGTAATTGTCTTTGTAATTGTCAGCAAGCAGTGAATGGAATTAGCCAAATATCATTTAGTGCTGATGGTAGAATTTCCCCGAAGAAACCTACCTCTATCCCTGAGGTGGCAAAGCAACGAGAGTTAAGTGGGACACTGCAAACTGACTCGGACTCAAAGAATAAGAAGCAAATATCAAATGCGAAGATCAAAGAGATCAGTGGACATGACATTTTTGGTCCCCCTCCAGAAATTCAGCCTCGATCAGCAACTATTACACGCTCTCTGGAATCAAAAGAAAGCAAAGATATGGGTGAACCTGCACCTCGGAACATACGCACATCTGTCAAAGTTTCTAATGTGAGTATTCTTTCAGGCTCTGAAAATCCTTTTCTGTTCCATATAAATTTCCACTCTGAAATATTAAGTCAGTGGTAGTATCTCCTATTTAGGAATTATATGAAGAAAGTATGTTAAGTTCTATATGTTCTCAGATGCCCTTGCTTAGGATGGTCAATTTGAAGCACATTTAGTCTAAAGCCCGGGTTAGATGAAATTAAATGTTTCTATAATCCTTTAGAAGCTTCTGAAATTTTTATTACAATAGTGAACCTGAATGGATGATATTTTATGTACTTGTTTATTTTGCTCCCCAAGATCAGAAAACATAAAGTTACATGAATCTTCTTCTCTGAAATTCATTCCTCAAGCTTCCAGTGGATGCCAAGGTTATTCTAGGATTTTATCAACCATCCTAATCAGTTTGATTTCAGATAACTAAATTGCATCATTTTCTTGTTCTGAATTTCATTTCTGTACTTCTTACCAGCAGCATGTTTTGAATAGAATCCTGCAATTAGGATCCCCGTCTCTGGTTCTCTTTTTGAAAGGTTTGATGTTCAAGTTTAGCTGCATTACGGATGCATCAATTTGCAGATACAATGCATTTTTGTAGTCAGTTTACATTATTTATATTTGATAGTCTTTTTCCAATTTCCATAGCCTGCTGGAGGTCAGAGCAATATCCTTTTCAGCGAAGAACCTGTTGTCAAGACAACAAAGAAAATACATAACCAGAAATTTGCAGAGTTAACAGGCAACAATATCTTCAAAGGAGATGTTCCTCCAGGTTCTGCTGAAAAGCCTCTGAGCTCTGCAAAACTGAAAGAAATGAGCGGCAATGACATTTTTGCCGATGGGAAAGCGGCATCTCGTGACTATTTTGGAGGTGTACGAAAGCCCCCTGGTGGTGAAAGCAGCATAGCCTTGGTTTAACTTCCCAAACAATTTTTAACTCTATTCTTCTGCACTACTATCAGTAAAAGACTCTTTACGTGTATCCATCCCACTATTGTCTGTGTGTTTGACTGTTGAAGGATCCTTCGGCTCGAGAACGATCAGCATCGGGCAGAGAAGAGACACTTTGTTGTTTTCCACAGTTGGTGTTGGTTGATATAATTTAGATCAAGAATCAAGATGTTCAGAGTTAATGCTAATTTGAGCTGCGATTTCAACAACTTTGTGGTTGATCAGTTTCTAATGTAGCATGTGTTCAGTCTGACATTATCTAGTTTAGGACCCGATGAACAGGAGATTGAATAATTCCTTCTTTTTCTTTCTCAAAAACATGTTAGCAGATTTGAATGATCTCTCTCTTCTTGTTGAGTTTATTCTTCAGAGCATGTAGTGTGACTGGCTTGGGTCGTAATCCTGGTGGCAACATGTGCTATGCACGGTCCAGGCTCTTCCGCCTAAAGGAATTTAGGCCTGGGGTCGTCTCCAATTGGGCCCTTAGGTAAAAAAAAAAAAAAAAAAAAAAAAACAAAAAAACAAAAAGCAGCTCTTATGGATCAAGCTACTTCTTTATGACTTTGGTGGTAATAGGATGAATGAAAAAAGATAATAAATTTTGAATAACTAAAAAAATAGAAAAAGAGAGGATAAGATAAAGATAAATAGATAGGGCGTCAAAAGACTTTTTTAAGGACTTTTTCAAGGGATAGAGTGACTTTTTTTAGGTTGATGAATTTTCATCTTGTTATAAATTTTATTGTTGTCGATATTGACATGTAGAATTGTTATTTCTTCTCTAATTATTTTGATTTGTGACAATTAGGCAATCATATACATTGCCATCAATCTCATTTTTCATGAGACAGACCAAACAAACATGTAGAAATTAATTCTCACTTTGTGATAGATAGTTTATTGTTGGATGTTATTGAAATTCTTCCCTATCGAGTCTCAACATCAGCTGGTTGATTCTCTTTACTAAGCCGGTGCCCTCAAGTTCTTTTCTCTTTCTGTTATCCAAGATGTCTATGATTAACATCCATAATCATAGACTGTTGAGGGAGAGTCTTATGTTAGTATGTTATCAGCTGTAATTTACTTATTCAGTTTATTTTTATTGTTGTAAGGGGAGGAATAGAGGGTTGAAAGTATACACTTCGTTAAGCTTTGTACGAGAGAACTTTGTCCATCAAGTTGAATAACAGCTTCTCTTTCTTCCCCACTCTCTCTCTCTCTCTCTCTCTCTCTCTCTCTCTTGAAGCTTCTTGAATCTTGATATGCTCAAAAGTTAATTTGTTCATTTATTACAAATTGGTTGTCACTCGGGCAATAGTAATCAAGATTCATGGGGATAATTTTCATTTTATTTATTTATTCATTGCCTCTCTTTTTCTTAGAGGGGAAAAAGAGACTAACAAATTGACAGTCCACATCCTGCTGCACTTTATAAAAGCGCCATCATTCATCCACTTGGACAGGTATGATAGAATACGTAAAAGAATTAATTGTCATAAAAAGTTGCAGGGCATCTCATAAAACACCATTTTTTATAAATAAAACTTTACTGTCTACATCCGGTCGAGCCATCATCATACCATATTTTATTAAACGAAGGACAGAACCCCAAAAAAAAAAAAAAAGAAAAACACATAGCTAGTCAAATAAAGATGGCTTGTAGACAGCCAGATAATAAACCATCTCCATAGCCAAATGCTCAAGCATCTCCATGCCCGATCAGGGCAAGGAGCATTTTCTCATAGTTCCCGGTAGTGTCTTTAGCAATTGCACGATCCAGAGGCACGCTGTTTCTCCGCTGGTATTCCTCTTTGATGCGCTGCATGTCAATCTCTGCTCGAGTAGTGATAACCCGGGTCAGAGCCCATTCGTCAGTCCCCATCTTGTTGATGGCCAGACGCAAAAGCTTCTCGAAGTACTTCTCCGGACAAGTCAAGCACTTGATTGCTGCCCTCAGTAGTTGAAGGTACTCATCCTTTGGATCACTCTTCAGATCCTGCATTATGGATAGTTTTATGCAATATGATAAATTAACAACCAAGTCAAAAGAACAGAAAATATAAATAATTGGATCAAGGTAAAGTACCCTCTACAGGAGGGATGAATCTAAATTCACAATGAAAGATCTGCGGGTGTATTTAATCTCGTAAGATCAAGATGCATTATGAGAAAGATAGTTCAATTATATTCATAGCACAGGTACTATAAGGCCAAACAAGCAGATTCCACAGGGGGAGATAAACCTGTTCTTTCCTTAGCCCTCTTGTCCCCCCCTCTCAAATATAGATACTAATTAAATCCAATCTCAGTTCTTATGCAGCAAAAGGGATTTTAGCAATTAAATTAGCTAACACCAAGGAAGTAAAGGATATTACTTATCCAATATACTAGTGTTGAGACTAAAAATCTTATAAATGGGTCATCATATTGTGACAGTTAGTGTGCTGTTGCTCGTGAAGACAATAAATTGAGATGTAAGTACCTTGTTGATAGCATTCCCATACCCATTGTTGTAGTGGTTAAGCGTTGCATTGAGCTGTGCCTTGCTCCTTGTACTGATTATCCTAATGACCTCCTCATCATTGTAAGCCTTGTCTGAGATTTTCTCATGAAGTGTCTTGGCCTCATTTTTAGCCAGTGTCATATTCACCTCCTCTCCCTCATATCGGAATGTGCTCACAAGAGGAACCAAAAGCTGCAAGAGAAAAAATCAACACATGACTTAGTCTCGATCTGGAATTGCAATCACCAATAATCCTAGTAGACATTAATTCGAATTGCTGGTACTAGCCACAATTGGCTGAAATCAAGCTCCCTGAAAGAGCAACAGTGATATAAGGATACCATTAAATCTCATTTAACTGTTATGTTCGTCTGTTCTTTCGATAAAAAAGCCAGTTATTAAAGGAGGAAATATCCCCCAATTAGATTTTACAGTAAGAACACCTGCTTCACGGAAAATCTCAACCCCAAGAAACGAGCATGATTGTTTTATTTAAAATTAAGAAGCTTAAGGAAGTACCTTGCGAAAATCTCCTTTTGTGTGATATGCAACATCTTCCTCAAGTGACCTCTTATAGCGAGCATGGTATGCCTGCTTGACCTTGAATAACTCAAGAGAGGACCTGGTGCAAGCTATCTCCAAAAGAACCCAATTGCTTGAAGTAAACCTCTTTGTGGATTCATTAGCCAAATAAGCATCACGTTCTGGTGGATCCAATGTCCATAACAGTACAGCTCGCTGTTCAGCCAAACAAATTGTTAAGAAGGAAAAGAAAAAAAGAAAGCAAGTATTAGCCAGTCTCTTAACATGAATGCAATTGCCACTTCAGTTCATGTCCTGATAAACTCTAAAAAACATAACAAAGATAAAGAAATATGAACCTTCATGAGCATTCTAATTGGATAACAAAACTGGATAAATACATCATCAGTCTATCAAAAGATGGTCGGAATCTGACCTCAAAGTCACTTGAAAGCTCTTTATCAAGTGCTTTCAGAAGATCTTCACCATATGTTTCAGCATAAGTTTGTCGTATTAAGTTGCGTTGTGCTGCATTCCTATGTGCTAATATGGATATAATCAATCCCTCGTTCGTGCCCCATCCTGCGAATAGTGATCAAAACTGTTATAAAACCATACCAAGGACATTAAACTCTAAAAAGTGTTCATTGATTGCTATACATTACTCGTGCTTTATTCGAATCTACATAAAATAGACTGAATTTCACCTTGAATCATTTCCAGTAAATCCTAGACAGTTTTCACTTTCAACTAACTGGAACTCAACAAGATGTATTCTGGCGTATGACTTTAGATCAATCAAAGATCAGAAGTCATAAGAGTGATATATAAATTACTCGATCAAAATGAAAATTTCTTAAATCAAAATTACAGAAAGGAGAAAAAGAGCAAATCTAATGAAGTAAATTAGTAGAATAAGGGTGTCAAGAACCTTTGACACTGCAGTATATGCAAATCCCGAACAGATCTAACACTATAGATCACCAACATTTTAACTGTGAGCATAAAAAATATTCCAGAACAATGATTCCCAAAAAAGGCGATGATCAGAAGAAACACATTGCCATTTACCACTCAGCAAAGAGAGACCTTCAACAATGCAGATCAAAATCAACAAATGAACCATATAATAACAGTATTAAAACAAAATATAACCCAAAAGACAGTAACTTAAGATGTCAAAAAAGCCACTCACAAGAAATCGATCATGACGATATGCAACTTAATCTGAACTGTAAACATGAAAAGTACTCCAATCCCCACAAATAGTACGAGTGATCGCGAAAGGATCATCGTGGAAAACAAGATGTAACAGGAAACCAAATACATCAATCAAGAGAGCAGACACAGATGATCAACGATCTGACGTCAATGACAAGAACAAGCCAATAAAAATAAAACTTCAGTGAACAATATATATATATATATATATATGTTCGTATATACAGGAAGAAGACCTTGAAAAGCCTTGTGAAGCTGGTCGGCGTCCTCAGCTGGAGAAGGAACATTGGCAGGGACTTGAAGAGTCGCCATTTTTCTGCTCACTGAATTTCTCCCCTAACTCTCTGTGTGCATAGCGTTTGGTGAATGTGGTGAATGGGAAACGATGTGTAAAAGGAGAGAGACTCTTTGCATTACTTTATAATAATGCAAGAAGATTCATTTTTGCCGGAAAAGAAAAAAAGAAAAAATAAAAAATAACCAATCAGATAATTTTTTAAAAAGGAAAATTAAATCATTTTACTTTCTTGCTTAAAATAAAAATTAAATTGGGTCAAAAATAGTGTGAAGAATAATTTTTGCCTAATAAAATAGGCTCAAACGTAATCCAGTTGTACGGTGCACTATAAGCCTCGTGTAAAGTAAGTTAACACAAATGTGGAAGGCTGAAATAAATGTGTTTAAGATAAGATATTCATATTTGTGCATTAATTTTAAAAATAAATTATTACATATTTAGCTAAAACTAATCATTGTAAATTCTAAAACAATAAATAACTAATATATTAAAGATTTTAAAAAATTAAGAAATAATTGTTTACTTTTTATACTCAATATTATTTTTTGACGCATGATAAATATTTTACATTTTATTATTACCAAATGTGTTCCAAATAACAAATAAACAATTACACATACCCACTTAATTTTATAAATAAGTAAAAGTAAAAAAATAAAATAGTGAAAAAATAAAATTAGAAAACACTTATAAAACAATATCTTTACGTGACTGGCGGGATGGTTGAGTGGCCAGCAATTTCAGTCTATTTCACGTTTTCCTTGGATCTCCCGCCGATCAAACTCACTTTCAAAGGCATAAAAATAATAATAATAAGCGAGTGTACGTTATTTATTTCTTATTTAGTGATATAAATTTAATCATATAATTATCATATTTAAAATTAAGGAAGATTCCTAAACTACCTTATAAGAAATTTTTGTACTGTTAAAAATAAAACTCATTTTCCATGTGATTTTAATAAAGAAAGAATTGGTTATATAAAATGTGTTGGGATTTTTTCCTAAGATGAAGAAAAATTAAATTTCTAGTTACTTCATTCACTTTAAAAATTAACAATTTAAATATCTTTAAATGAGTTTATTGAAGGAAATCAAATCAAATCATATCTGAAAACTATAAGCAACTCACAATGAATTAAAGAGAATGAACATAAAAGAATCCATAATAAAAACAACCTTCGCGTCATATGGTAAACCTTTCAAATTAATATGTAGTTATAAAACTCTAATTTTCACTGCTGACGGAGTAATAGGAAATAAACAAAATACACACGTGTAATTTGGATACCATAACCGCTTTTTATATTGTCGATTTTTGTTATTTTCTATTTTATTTATCATAAAATGAGAAATTATGTAACGACTCGCTTTCTCCGTAGAGAAATGAGCACTACTCCACATATATAGTATGATAAATTTACGCAGCAATAAACGAAAATCTAAGATTCAATCATTCCTATACGGAATTACAAGACATGAGGCTTATAAGGTTCTTTCCATTACATCATAATCATATAATTAATAGACTTTACAAGACGAACTCTTACTGTTACTAAAGATTCTTCAAAGTCTTCATTCGACCTTGAATTTACTATTGATCTGTACTAATCTACATTGGGGGGTGTGAATTGAGGTGAATTTCATAGACTCAATAAGAAAAAGGGGCAATGCCCACAACAAAGACATGCACACACTTAATCATCAAATCTTCTAAATCAGTTTATTCAGTAAACATTAAGAATTTTTTATTTCAGTATTATAACTTAAGGCATAAACAGTTTCATAAATAGCATCATTCAGTATTCAATATCATAATTTAAGTAGTAAGTAGTTCAATATTTCAATATCGTAAATTTCACTTATGACTTTCTATTCATTCATATCAATTTATGTCTTATTAAAAATAATTTCACCGTGCGATACCGTTTCTATCAGCATCAACGAGAGCAGTAAGGATTCCTTCTACCACGTGAATACGTTGCAGTTCAGTTCACAGTTCACAGTTTGTAGTACATAGTACATAGTTCATAGTTCTTACCGCTTCACCACGTCTGGCTGAATCTATATACACCGGTAGGGTTCACTATAGTCACACACCAAAAGACTACACACACACACACACCTCTTGATGATACCAGTTAAACAAATTTTCTCGTCTTTTAAGGATTCTTATGTTATTCTTTTACTAATCAGGTTCACCACCAGATAACCTACTCAGACATGCACCTATTTATATATATATCATATATACATTATGCATCAACAAGCCTACACAACAAATATAATACATACATTTTATACGCATAGTTATCGACTCAAATAAGTGTATATAAACACGCAACACATATAACATAAATATGTTTGTATATTCGCATAAGACATATATATTCTAAAAGTAGACGTATACAAATTGTTCACTCGTATGTACACACGTTGCACAACCTACAATTATACAATTATTTATATATATATATGTGTCACACATACCTATAATTCGATAACTAGCATGCATAAAATCTACATAAATATACAAGTAATGTAACGACCCCGAAAATTCAAATGAAATGTATGTATTAAAAATCTCAAATGCGAAAGTGTAATAAAAATTTTGATTAACATCCCTTACACAATAACCAAAACGTACTCAAAATATGAAGGAACAAACTAACTAAAAGAGATACTCGAAATAAGAACTATAAATATAACTATGAAGTCTTTAGGCGTCCCATTCGCCGTCTTCCTGCGGAACGGGCTCCGGAACAACATCTTTCTAATCTGAAATGGTTAAATAAGAAATGAGCTACACTAGTGCAGTAAAGACATCACACTATCTCACCACCACGAAAGTAAAAGTGGGTAGAAAATAAAAATGACCAATAGAGCATAATTTATAACAAACTCATTTATTAACATAAAAACCTTTACTGTCCACTTACCTCAGTGAGATTCATGAAAATAACCTATGAAAACAATAACCTTATAATATCATGAAATCATACACACTTTATAACATAACACATATCATACCTTTACATTTCAATCATTAAACAACATATTTTCCTCTTTTACCAGCCTACTAGTATCTATGGGGATCCATAAGGGGTCCCCACTACACGTGAACCATTAACATTTACAACCTGATTCCAGGGCCGTCCCCATACCCCATCTGGTATGGGCACCAAAACCATGAACCTTAATACCTCGTCCGGGTATGAGGGTGAAACGGGCCGTCCCCATACCCCATCCGGGTATGGGTGCCAAAACACATAAGGTCTTCATACCCCGTCCGGTATGAGAGACCACGTTCCCGGTAAGGTTTCCTACAGACCCGGTCCGTCCACCATCTCCCAAGATATCTAGTCAGGCTGTCCACATTTTTCACTTATTAATTCACATAACCTTTTTGCCTTTTTTCTTAATCTCAATCATCCAATCATACACAACATGTAAACTAGTAATTGACACCAAACAAGACAACACAGTATCGGGTTCACCATAATGCAAACCATAATAAAAGAAATCATGATTCATGCATACAAGACCATAACATAATACATCAAACATCATGCTGCATTTAATACTGAAATTTAGATCAAACAATAACATACCAACACTGTATCAGACTCGGGCTCCATTTGGCAACATCAATCAATTATACATCTATAAAGTCTCAAAATACCGTTAAATTATTTATTAAGCTTTAATACCGTAATAGGAAATAGGGTGAGGGATCTGAAATCGACTCTACAGTGTGCATACGGGCTGTCCCTAATTTTCCTAAATTTTTCTTGAAAAACTGAAACGCACTACTGGTACCTGCACGTGTCCCAAAAATTCCAAATCAGACCTAGGGCCCCTTTCGGCCAATATTGGAATTCTGGCACGGCAGCTCCGTCGTGTGACGGCGACGGCGCCGTCGCCTACAGCGGCGATCCGCCTCAGGTTGGCCGTTTTCGGCCGAATTCGGCCAAACTTGCATCGGTCCCTGCAATAAAACAATCCTAGGGCCCTCGGGCGGCCAAAAAATCACGAAAAACTGAGACTTACCGGCGGCGGTGCTCTCGGGTGCGGCAGCTCCTGATGTTTGGCTCCGATCAACTGGTAGAGAAAAGAACGGTGATCATAGTGGTATAAAATTTGCATCGAACGGAGGCCGGGAAGGGCCTCATTGGAGGCAAAAACAAAGGGGAGTCGCGGTGGCGTCGTCGGACTTTGGCGGGGTTTTCCGGCCGTTTGGTTGATGGTTTGGCTCCGGTTTGGCTATAGACGGATTCAGCATCAAAAAACGAGCCAGGGGGAGAAAATTTACCTCGATCAACGATCGAAAACTTCTCCGGTGCGACGGCGGGTGGCGGCGGCCGGCTCCTCCGGCGTCTGGTTCTTCTTCTCCAGCGAGGCACTGGCAGCTAGGGTTTTGTGGTCAGGTGTGGGTGAGGTTATTTATACCCTTTGCCTTTTAATCTCAACCGTCCATCAAGATTAAATCTAGACCGTCCGATCGCGATTTAATTGAGATTAAATCTGGGTCGTCCGTACGCGTGAATCTGGGTCGTCCGTACGCGTGAATCTGGGCCGTCCGTACGCGCGGGAACGGATTTGGGCTGTCCGATCACGCGCACGCGGATCGCTCACGTGGCCCATCGCGTGTCAGCGTTTCCTTGCCACGCGACGTGTCCTGGTTGGCCGGGATGCTGACGTGACTGCTGACGTGACTGCTGACGTGGCACAACTTTTTAAAATTGCGTTTTAACCCCCGATTTCTGATTTTCTTTTCAAAAACACCCCCAGAATTCAAATTTTCACCCCTTTTTCCCAAAATTAATTTCAATTAAATCCAAATAATATTTTACCTAATTTTATCATTATTATTATTTTTAATTTCATTAAATTAAATTAAATTAAACTAAATTAAATTAAATTAAAATCTAAAAAATTCAAATACAAAAAAAGAAAAATAAATAAAAATAAAAATAACAAGAATAAAATTAAAAAAAAATACTTGGGCGTTACAAGTAACAATATGAATACATAATTATACATCATATACAACATCATATAGGTTTCTGATCATATGCAATTGTACACATGTAAAAATGATGA